CTAGCTGCCTTCCCTCTAGTCTTACACTGCTAAATTAGGGACGGCTAGCGCAGATAGCCCTCGTGTATCTTTGCGCGAAATTCAAAACAAAACAAACAAGCTATAACTGGATTTACCGTAGAAAGATAAAGGGGACATCACTAATTTCTACACCTGTCTTTGCTAATATACAGAGTTGGTATGTATTCTGGTGATGGATTTCAGAAATGTATTTTTAGAATGGTTGATAAACAAAGTCGGCAGCTGAAATATAATCAAAGAAAAAAAGCAGCAGAAGGGAAAACCTTCTTACAATTTGTTTGCATTTTTATTCTAGGTACAATATTATCTGGTAAAGGAGAACACATGTGAAAAACAGTAGTCATCTTCATCAAGGTGGAAAAATATGACAGAATGTAGCCCGAGTGTTGGAATTTTCGCACAACATTTTTCAGTAGTTATATTTTCAAGAACTGTATAAATCATACTTATAGAAGAAGATTTTTCTCAACATTTTCCTGTTGAAAAATGGACACTTAAGAAAGCCTGGCCCTTAAGTTAGATCAAAATGACAGAATAAGATTATGCTGTGATCTTTCAATTAAGAAATAAAACTGAAACAAACGAAAAAAAATCATTGGATGTGTAGTTATGATAATATCTTTCCACTAAGTGACTACAAATGTTTAGGCGTGGCATAGCCGAGCGGTTTGGGACCTCAATTTGTAACCTGCAGACTGTGAGATCGAAACATGCTTGTTCTTCTGCTGTGCGGCATTATAATATGACGGTCAATCCCCCTATTCGTTGGTAAAAGAATAGTCCAATAGTTGTTGGTAGGTGGTGTTGACTAAATTCCTTTCCTCTAGTCTATAACTTCAAAATTATGGCTCATGCAGATAGTCTGTAAGTAGCTTTGCGCGATGTTCAACAAGCAACCATATGTTTAATATTATGAATTAAATACGTCATAAAATCAAAAACTGATATTGGTTATAATGCGTTTAATCAAAAATTTGTTACCCTCGCTGTTAAGGATATTTATGGCCGCAATTTGAAGTGACCAGCTTAGAAGATTTAGGTTATTCCAAAATCCCCATCCCAACTCAAAATGAAAAATTTTTAAATGTAATATTCAAAACACAGAAAGGAACTTTGACGGTGATAGTCTTCTAATGAAAGAAAGAATAAAACAATAATGATAACACTAACACCTTAAGAAATACCAAAAGAAGAAGAATATAACATTAATAATTAGAGGTAAAGATGTACAATGAAAATAATAGCAATTCTATACCGAACATTTTACGTTATAAAATGAGAAATGCTTATGTGATAACTGTAAAAATAATTTCACTGACCTGTTTTAAACCAACCATCTTCCGTAAAAACTTCTGCTGTAGCTTTGGGGTTATTAAGATAGCCCTTCATCACCCGTAGACCACGAACATAGAATTCTCCACTTTCATTCGAGCCTAAAGTGACCCCTGTGGCGAGATCAACAACCTAAAAAAAAGGTAAATTTAGGTACATAATAATAATTTTTTACCGTATTTTAGAAGTGATAAACTCTCTTATAATCATAATAACTGGGAAAAAAAGTACATATTCCACATGTGTGAAGAAGCATACAATGAAATTGGTACAGTAAAACGACATGAAAATGGAAAATGATATATAAACGTTATTGTACTTACATATTTACTAAGATAAAAATACCAGTTTTCATGAAGCATTTTATATACCAGAACTTTGTTATATGTGTCTGGGTTTTGTAAACAATAATATTTTTCTTAATAAAGTTATTCCTAAACTAATAGATTTAAATTATTCGTGTGCTAACTCTTGTTAAAAAAGTTCACCTTCTTCATAAAAAACTTTAAACGTAGGTATAGTGTAGTTTTACCGTAGAGAGATTGTTTAAAATCCCTAACTAAAATATGTTTCAAAAGTATCATAAGGACTGGAAACATTATTTTCCAAATAAAAAAATAAAAACTTAAAGATATAATTATAAACTCTATCTCTTTTGTTTCTTACAAATCATATGACATCCACTGTAAAACTTTTAACCAACATTATTATAGTAACAATTAACTATATAGTAATAATTTATGTATACCATTAAATTAAAAATAAACACTATGGCAACACTTTTAACACACATTATTATACCAACAATAAATTCAAAAGTTTCTTCAAAGAAAACTTTAATTTAAATAAAAGAGTAACTTACCCACGCTCAACTAATCTGGTGCTGTACTGTACACAAAACATGACAGTATACATTATACATAAAGTTCGACATGGCCTCATTGTGTCTAGGTCAGTTTCAGATTACGTCAAATTGCAGTTGTTTCTCCCTTTATCTTTAACTGTTATGAAGAATTGTGTAACGGTAATATTCTATACTCCATACAGAATTAATACCGTTCATTTTTAATAAATTAATTTTTGAGATGGAACGAAGTCTTTTTTTGTATTTTACTTAGTTCTTGTGAGAGTAACTCAATGTTGATATGTCCATTTCATTTATAAAAGGTTAACGATTAAAATAAGCTTTATAGTAATTTTCAACTATTTGCACAATTATTTTCAGATGCAATAAACCACCTTTTCCAATAGCTCAGCGATAAGCTTGGAGGCTTATAACTCTAACATTTCTGGCGGGTAGAACATAGATAGCCCACCAACAAATAACCATAAAATATAATAAAACGATCAAATGAGTATTCATAAAAACAAACCTTTAATTCTGTTGAAGAAGTTAATTTTCCAGCAGAGTTAGGTGTAATCTTTCCTTTTTCCACAGAAGCAATAACAAGAAGCTCACTTAATCCATACACTAATACATAAATGAAACACGCTTAGAAATTATTGTCATGTATTAAAACGATAACAACAGATGTATTTTATGGTATTGTGCACGAATTAAGAATGAAATTATAATTTATATCAATTGAAAGTAAATTAACAAAATACACTTTACCACTTTACAGAACAATACTTGCAACATAGCCTTACGTGATTGTCCTAACGTTTATTGTTTGATTTTAGTTGATTATCAGAAAAAACGTAAAAGATAGATTGAATAGACTGGATATCTCGCAATAATATAACTAAATCAAAAACTATAAGTTAAATAGTATAAAACAGCTCAGAAAATGTAAATATACAAACGTATTAACGTTAAAGCGGCGTAGGTTTAATCAATTTCTAAAAACAAATAGACTGTAAAGATAAAGAACAACTTTTTAAATTAATGATTTTTTAAAATGTGGTCAATAGGGCTTTCAGTAGTATCAGAGACGTTTGTTTGTTTTGAATTTCGAGTAAAGCTACACGAGGGCTATCTGCGCTAGCCGTCCATAATTTAGCAGTGTAAGACTAGAGGGAAGGCAGCTAATCATCACCACCCACCGCCAACTCTTGGACTACTCTTTTACCAACGAATAATGGGATTGACCGTCACATTATAACACCCCCACGGCTGAAAGAGCGAGCATGTTTGGTGGGACGGGGATACAAACCTGTAGATTGCGAGTCGAGCTCCATAACCACCTGGCCATGCTGGGCCAAGTATCAGAAAACTATATATGTTCTGCTTCCTTTAAATAAACTGTTTAGTAAATTTACCGCAGATTTAACATTTATTAAGAATTTGAATTAAACCATTCAAAAGAGGTTAACGCAACTGTACATTTTCACGAATAAGAAAATACAGAAATCACTTTGAATAAAATATTCTCTAACAATAAACAAAAGTCATTAGCGCAGTTTATCAGCAGAAAGTTTTTCATCTTAATTTATGATAAAGACGAAATGCTTCCTATTTTGATATCCTTATAACAAGGAAAATACTTAACTTGTTTCCTTCCTTTTTTATTTGTTATTAAGAACATGCTACGACGCTTAATCCAAAATACACTCAACTCCAACATTTCTTCCAGAGCTGGTATTGTAAACCACTTATTGAACAAATAAGTTGAAATTCGTAAAACGATATATTTTACCAGTCTTAGTTGAAAAAATTATTACATCACCCTATTTTTCCACACTTTTATTTGTTCCTGTAATTTCTTACGAGATTGTGTATTGTGGAAGTGTCATGATAGTGTAATGCGGTTATGGACATTGTGTGGTGTAAGCTAACTCATATTTCAGTCATCGAAATACCCATATACATATTTATATAAACCAACCGTATCAAACGTATTACAGCAGACGATCAATAAATATTTGGCATATGCGAAAATGTTCTCTGAGTAAGAAAACCCAAATTTTAAGATAACGCCACTAATGTAATTGACAAAATCGGTCGCAGAGTCTGTTTATTGTTTTAATATATGGTTGTGACTCTTTTGGTTTTCATAACTGTTTAACATCATTGTAGCATAAAGTGCACGAGGAACTGAATATAGGTTAGGAATGAGTTTATGATGTTATACGAATATTACGACTTTCTGCAGTTCTAAGTAGCTTCTCGGCTTTTTTCTCTTGCGTCTTGCTACCCATTACCTTCCAACAGTTTTCGATAGGATTGAGATCTGGGCTGCTGAATGGCCAGCGTTGTGTCTTGATCCTCTCTCTCTCATCGAAGATATTGTTTCACCCGAGGCAATAAAATTAATTGATACTTATCTTGTTGGTGTGTGTGTGTGGGTTGCTTTCTTGTCTGTTTTGCTGGTAGACTGAATGCACGCAGGCGAGACCAGGCGGAGCACGCAGTTACAGTGGCCCCTAAAGTTTCCATCCATGCTCTTTTTGAGATATGTGGATGGCATGGATTTGAGAATCGGCACCTGCTGTGGAAGCTTCATCTTACCCCTTTCGCTGATACACAAAACCAGTATCCCTATATCTCTGCACCCAGCGGCTCATAGTAGACTGGTTAAATTTAATTCTATTAGCAATCTGCCTTGTCGAAAGTTCTTCTTTGCTCAAACAAACAATGAGTGCTTTTTATCCACGGAGTTAACTCGCAACCTTTCGCCATCGTAGCATAAGCATGCGCATTGTGGCAAACACGCTTCTAAGCTGACTTTCAGTAAGAATTTCTACTTATAGCTAAAAAAACGGCTGATACAATACTCAAACAACCAATAAATCTGCTGATGTAATAATTAGAGAGTATTACATCATCCATGAAACACATTTGCACCTACATGCATTAGGGCCTCAAAAAAAGACAATGATTACAAAGAAAAGTGTGAAAAAATTTGGATGAAACAATATATTTTTTCACCACTGTGTATCTCATCAGACAATTTTGTTGAAATAAATAAAAAAGAAAAAGAATGTACCTCAATACTATTCTACAAAACGATTATAAATCCAGTATAGGTATTTGGAGCATTTTGTAGCGAAAATCATATAGACACAATATTTCTGGCACTAGGGGGAACCACAAATGGTTGTATGCAAATTAGGAAAGTATATAAACTCGATGTGCCCTACATACATTGTTCAAGTGGCCCGTACTGACTCTATAAAATACACAAACATTTCTATAATGAGGTTGTTGGCTATTTCGTTGTACTCTACTCTGTTATAATTTTGTTTCTTCACTGGCGAGTTCTTTCAAACTATCTGGTGAAAATAGTTCAACGTCGAGTCCTATGTACTTATCAAAATATTGTCTTAATACTTTCATCATCTCAAGTAAGGATTGAATCTCACTACTTGACCTCGTAGTCACCGTCTTCAAAATTAGATTTCTATTTAAAATATATACAAAGTTTTATTGAAATTTTCATCAAATTAATGTCTCTCTCCTAACAAATAATTCAAAATCAAGTCCACATATCAGTCCAAAATTGGTTTCTTTTCTCCTTTAAAGTTTCTACAAGCTTGAACACATGCACACTCTCGTAACTGCCTTTGGTCTACATTACAAATGACTTTCACACCTTTTTAACAATACTATGATTCACGTAAAATAAACTTACTTGCACAAAGTAACTCAATAAGCGGGATGGCAAACATTGATCCGAGCACTTCATGAAAACACAATGACTCAGTTTTGAAATAACTCATTCACTTTTCACCACAAGTTTCTAAGTAACTGGCCCACACATATTTATAGACAATCCTTGTTTTAGATACTTCGCCAGAGTTCTTGATCATTACAACCTGCAGCTTCCTCTAGCTAACAAACAAAATAAAATGCTGAAAATATAGCTTATGACACTGATCCCTTCCTGGATTGTGAAGTTCCTTGAACAAACCTAATAAGATTAAAGCACAATAAATTGTCCACTTACCAAGTCCTTCTAGCTAGGAAACAAATAAACAACATTAAACGATCTTACAAAAATACCATTAAGGAGCTTTTTTTCTGTACTTTCACAGCTAAGGTTAACATTTATGAAACAACTTCTGTTTTATACTTACCTTGTCGGAAAGATCTTAGGAAAGGAAAAGCCTTCATAAGAACTTCTTCATTGAATTCCTTATTAAGAGGAGCTCCCCATGTTATAATCTCCTTTACACTGGTGAGATTATATTGTTGCACCTTGGGGTCTCTAAGAAGTCGATAAACTATTGAAACTGACACCAGAGCAGCAGAAACCTGCAGTGTAAAAGATATAGTGTTTAATAGCGGCGTTGCTTATCTTCATTGTAAGGTAAGATAAAAACATAAAATGAAATATATCATGTTCACCAAATATAAAGAAACCTTTAATTCACAAAATAAACCTAATCTGCGACTTTTAAGTTCTTTCTTTGTCCGTTTTATTCATTCTTGTTCAGAGGATGTTTTTGACGTTTTTTTTAGTTATTATTCAATGATTATTCTTTATGAATTTCAGATAGCTATTGTCTGTAAAATCTACTATATGTTTCTTTGAAATAACTGTCATAAATAAATTAAAATCATCTCACAACTTTCGCTTTCAAAAATAAGTGTATGATAAAAGTATCAAAAAGTCTCAGTTATAATAATTTTTAAAGTAATTAATGAAAGTTTGTTACCAGTCGTTACCAGTTGTATATATTTGATATACTCAAGTAACCGCAATAACAAAGAAGAAAAGCAATAACTCTTAAAGTATACACTGAAAGGATATGAAAGTCTTTTTTATATCCAACGGTCAATTAGACAAGTAATTAAACTGGATATCTGAAGTTGAGGTGAGGGGTAAGGTCATTTGTTTTAGAAAATCAACTATTTCGTACATTTTATTAAGTATATATGTATATTGGAGAAAGTAAAGTCACCTTCAGTTTGAACAACAGGAGTTGAACGACCTAGGACAACTTTGCGTGACAAGGTAAAACCTTGTCCATCGTCGCTCCCAGTTCTTCCTTAGTCTGGATAGCCACAATTTCGACCTTACCCAGTGAAAACCAGTATTCGTGTATTTCGTAAGCCCCTCATTAGTTTCTTCACAAACTTCCAAAAATTCTATAATATTGTTTCAGTTTTTCTAGCACATAGTTAGGGAAGTGATTTTCTGTAGTGATTTTCTTAGCTTGGAAAGCTGGGTCCTTCCTAACTTTAACCACTGTCTTAAATATGATAGAAATAAGAGAGGTTTCAATAAATTGGAATATCAGCGAGTCACTCTACGGTAATAATTATTCATGAGTTAAAATGATTCTTGGATGCCTACCTTATGTGTTTGTATGACCTCTAAGAATAAATCTGAGTCGTAGGATGGCACAACGCTTATGGTCACACCTTCAGACAGAGCAATAATAAGAAAGAGAAAACCCCCCACGTGGCAAAATGGATACATTCCAAGAACAATGTCATCCTGGGAAAACTTCCAAACAGTCGGATGCCTGTATAATAAAAATTAATAAATAGAGAAATTCAATTGAATAATTCATCCAATTTTCTCTTACGTGACAATAAAACAGATAAAATGATACATGTATCTGCTACAAATACTGATAATATAAAAATTAAAACGAATTAAAATAATTGTGCGTGCTGGTAGAAGTGAACAGAAAATTTTAGTCGTAAAAACTTCAAAACATTGACCTCCTCCGTTCTTGTTAATTGCACGTGTAGACTTTTGTAAACAAATGCACTAGATAAATTACTGGAGGTTTAGTTTAAGGGCTATCAGCACTAAACTTCTGTGTTCATTCGCTGAGGGTAGCACAGCATATATAGCCCATTTTAAAGTTTTGTAATGAACAATAAAAAACAATCAAATTCAGGTTTACTGTTATGTTGATTAGTGATGAGTCAGAGGAAGAAACAATATTGTTATAATAATCATGTATATGAAACATTTTTTCATGATAATAATTTGATACATTACTTGGAGTTTTATCGTATTATAATTTGTTTAAGATATTTTAAAATCAAGTATTAATGTTCAAATATGCTATTTCAGTGATTTTGTGATACTTTCTATTAAATATATCGCGAAATACTTTGTGTCTTTTTTCGTACGTGTATAATGTATATTCTAACAGCTTCAGGTTGAATTAAAGAAAAATTATATCATTTATTACGTCATGGTTTGCTAACGGATGCTTGTTGTTCCCCGATATTTTACTTACAACTAGTATATTAACAAACAGGTATTATTATTAGTATTAACATGAAATTATGCTTTTCCTGGTGAGTAAACCGAAAATGCAGCGTTATGTATTCATTGAGACTGTACATTAAATAAAAAAACTAAAACCATAAATTTTTAATCATGACAGTTGCTGTCAAACCTTACAAAATCATTTAAACTGCTGTTATTCGCGAAAATATGAAAGTATTATGAAGTAAAACAATGCAGAATGACTTACGTGGTAATGACGACCGTGAAAAGAAAAGTGTAATGAGTATGTACAATGGCTTTGGGTAATCCAGTAGTTCCACTAGAAAACGTTAACAGTAAAGGCGTTTCTTTAGGATCAATCGCAGGAGGACCAGTAAAGGCAGATCCGTCATCTTCCTCAACAAGTTCCAAAAACGATGGACAGTCTTCAGACTTCTCAAACACCAGTATCTCCTGTTCAAGAAAGTATTTTGTTTGTTTGTTTGTTTGTTTCT